TAAATGATATAGAATACATAAATATCTGTTATACATATTGAATATAATTTAGTTGCCTTTAATAAAATCTACGCAACAGAAAAGATCAATCAGATGTGATAAGAATACTCAATAACTAAATGTTGATGTCGCTTGTACGGTACGATCTACAAGCGGGCTATGCATTATCTATATTAATAATCATTGCTCAGGTAGAGAATGCTGTGACTTATAATCATTCCAACAACCAAAATGAGTTTCTTTATATATAAAAGAACCAATTGTAATTCAGGACGTTCTCAGAAAACTATTGAACTGCGTTCCACAAAAGCTCCTTTCAGTAGAGGGTCTAGCAACGCTCACGTTGCGTTACTTGTGTCATAGAAATATACCCATCTCGACACTATGCAATCGATGTTATATAATACAATAGCGATACTATATTTGTGTGATTTTTTCTCTCTTCGTAATGATCCTTAGTCGATGTTTCAGTTAATCTGGAATTTATCTCGAATATGTATATATATTTAATATTTATTTAAAATATGATGCAATTTAGTGTTTTCGCTTCTAATATAGAAATTGAAAATTAATAGGAAATTTTTGTGTGAAGGAAGTTTTACTTAACACAGTTGAGAACTAGGAAGATTCATCATTTCCGCTCGCTTCACCGTCCACCGTGGCGAGCAAGAGCAGTTGATGTCTGAGTTAGCTGTGCAACCATTCAAGTTAACAACTCTTTTCACGATATCGACTTGTACTGATCGACTTATTTCATCAGAATTATCGGAAAGGAACAAAAATGCTCTTTTCGGACAACATTCTGACTCAACTTCGACCTTCGAAATATGACACTCGAGCAACCACCATAGGCAATATTGTTCGACTAAGAATTCGCATCTATCCCAATCTAGCATTTGAGAACCACATTTACCTACATAGAATTGCACTGTAAATCTATCCTAATCCTGGTGGAGTAAAACTTGAGTGCTTCTTGCTACCAATGTAGAGATATGCTGATGTATGTGACCATAGCACTCCTCAAGGATTGCACTTATCTTATATCGCCCATTTATTCATTATGGTAGAAGGGACTCATCAATCACACTTTCAATTATCTTCTGCTTTCTAGTATTAGCGTGTTTCACGTATTACCCTCAATCTAAACACAAAAACATAGAACAGAAAACAGCATTTTTTGCATGACCTGCACCACAATTGGAACTATAGCCCTATGTCATTCCTTTGTGGTTGCCTTTTATATCTGACTGACTTGACCTTATATAACTTAGCCAATACCATTAGACTCTCCTGACTCACAATAGCCCGGGGATGACGTATCCGCATTTACAGATTTAATGCTATTACTAAATCCACATTTTCAAGGCAGTCAGAGAAGTATTCACGACAGATCAACTAAAACTAATGAACAAACATAATCAGTTACATACTCGAGAACATCATTCAGCAAGACACATGTTCACAGCTGTTGTTAAATAGAAATATAAGGCACTCGTAGCAAATACTATTTATTTCGCGAAACTTAAATAAAAAGTAATCATACCACTGAAAAAATAATGAACGAGCACAAACAATCACTCCGTTTTCAGTCGTTAAGAGGCGGTGATGATACTTTTTCGAAACTGTAATTGTGATAAAAAGGAAATATTACCAATTGCTACCATTAATTCTATTTTTCCGCCTTACAAACGATCCCTAAAGCTGTGAATTCATGTACGCGTGAAACCTCACCCTTAACATTTCAAGGAAAGTACAATCACTTTAAATTTTAAACTTTATATTAAAGTTAACAAGTTTTTAAAATCTTCTAGTTTCAATTTAAACTAAGCATATAACAGCCATTCCATATAAGCCGCAGCCGATTTCTTATGACAGCGCTCAAAGGCCATTCGCCGATTTGGCTCATTTTCGCATATGTGATAGGGGCAAGTGTTTGATGTATTTTGGTGAAAACCGATTAACAAAATATTGAGTCGTTCGGTTTTTATATCAGTTTTATTGAAAGCACTATAAAATGGACTTTTTCAAGGAACGATTTTGAACACTCTGAAAAGTCAAGAAAACATCAATCGTTTGTGCTGAAATTTTTCGTACATCACAATCCAGGTAAGTTCTACATGTGCTGTAAATTCCAACTGAAATGATTGGATGGTTGGTATTTTATGGATCTCACAATTTACGAAAAAATGACTGCTTTTAACAACTTTCGACCCTTATATCTCCTGATTGTGGGATGATAGAGGTCTGAAATTTTCAGGACAAGTACATCCTAGTACCATCTATATATCCTATAAANATCCATCAGCGCTTGATATTTTCCTACAACGCTTCGAAGTCTCCAGTACCGTGTAGATCAACTACGAATCTCGAAATCCCTTCCAAACGAAGTTTGATGAAGTTTTGAACATTTTCCGGAAAAACGTTTTTTTGACCTTTGACCCCGACCTCACACTCTCCCCCTCAACCAAGCCCCAGCCTCAAAACCCCTTCAAAGCCATGTTTCATGAAGTTTTGAACAATTCCAGAAAAATAGCCATTTGACCTTTGACCTGCGATAGACACACACACAAACAAACAAACGAATTTCCGTTTTTTGACCACTTTTTTTCGACATGACCCTCCTTACAGTCGAGGGAACAATACAATTATTATCGAATTCATTTCTTTATCTTTTTTTTTGCTTTTCCTTATATGCTTTTTAAACTTCTTACTTTATGTGGTGTTCCATCTTCTACTTTATCTATTTATTCTCCTTATACGTCATTTTTTCTTTATTATGTTATTTTTCTTTTTCCTTTTGTTTCTATTGTATCATTAGCGGAACTTCGAATCAAAATTAAGAAACTTTTCCTCTGTCGACGACGACAACATCGAATTATTGGTCCTGCTAGATGAAATGCAGATATCTGTAAAAATGTTCAATATTCTTTAACAATTTTTATGCTGTAAAAGTCAATGTAATTATAATAATAATAATCTTGAGGGTGGATGAGAAGATTCGCAGTAGAATACATCCTCTTATTTCATACAAATAAAACTGTCATTATTTGAATTACTTTCAGTATTATCGCCATTAACAAGTTAATTTTTTTCAGAGCCTACTGGAACATAACATTTATAAATTTTCAAGATTTATACTGAAATATAATTGAGCTATAAGAAGAAGTGAACATATGAGCGAGAGTAAGTATAACTTGCTTGCCATAGAGAAAAAAGAACCAAATCAATGTGGAATTTTTGATTTTCCATAAGTTAAAATAAGCTATGCTCTATATTCACCTCTTTTCCATCTAATTATGTCATATGAATTGATAAAGATCATAGATGATATCAATAATATGAACTTACTCATATTTTATCATCGGAATTCTCTGACAATTATCAGTTTAAGAGATTTATCTCTTTAGTCTTCTCGAAGTATTTCATCACTGATGGTTAAAATTTCTGATAAGATGTAGATATGAAAAGAATTTCAGCCATTCAGATCGAACACAAATACGAAAAATATGAATTAGAAATTATTCTCATTTATTATGGAATTTCTTTTATGTGATTTTTTTATTTAAAAAAAAAAGGTAAACTTCAACAATCTTATTATCCAATAAATACTATTATCTTTTATAATTCATATACCGAATGCGATCAGTATTGAAAGTGTTTTGTCTTCTGTTCTAAGAATAATTCGATAAAAACATGAATTCTATAATGATGTAACTATTTTTAATCTATCGTTATATTATTTCAATTGTCTCTCTCTTCTTTCTTATTTCCACATGTGATTATCTATAATTGTATATCTTATGAAAAAAAGTGGATTCAATATTCATTTTGATATCTAACTGGATTATTTCTTTTGATTTTAATAAAGATTCGTAACACAATATGCATAAACATTTTACGTACATTCATATTTATTGAAGAAAAGCAAATGACATACATTAGATGTAACGTAAAACCTTTTTCTATGTTATCGTATTAAGTTTCTTTCATATTGTAAATCTATGCAGATTTGCTTGAAGGAAACGCGTTTCAACTTTGTTGTTGTTTTATTGATTAAAACAAAACAAACGGAAAACGAAACGCTAACGAATGAACGAGAAGAAGAAGAGGAACGTTCTGTCTATGTTGGTTGTGAAACACACACACCACTAGACAGAGAGAACAAAACGTCGGAAAATCCACAAAAGAAAAGAAGAGGAGAAAGAAAGAACAACGAAAACACTCGGACATATATATGTGTGTACGAGCGAAAACGAGAGAAAAAACAAATGCGTCATAGAGACGCGTGATGAATGTACGTGGACACTCTACACATATTTGCTAAAAGATTTAATCTACTTGAAAGAAATTTCTTTCGTTTCTCTGCTTCGAGATTATCTTTTGATTGTCATACATGATATAAATATATTTATCTATATTCCATCTGTTTTATTTTTCTCACGTTCGACAACCTTTTTTAACTGCTCTTCTTATATCGTATGTTATTCTAACAAACTTTATATGAAAAAAAAACATTTTTTTAATATGAGTATTGTGTCTAGGTTTTAGATTTAAAAAAATCAATTTATAGAATTCGAGTAATATAAACTATGATAGCGACAGGTGTTGTGTTTAACGATGAGTTAAATCAAAATGTAGACGATAATCATCTTGAAATCTTCAGTATTATTTGGCTTGATAATAATAATAACATCAAAGACAATCATGAAACGCAGAAAAATCTACGTTCTATTATTAATCAATTAAAATTATTTTACGATTCGAAAGAATGTCAACAATATATTGAACAACAATCAAACGAAGAACAATTAATAATCATTGTTAGTGAAGAAATGGCTCAAGTAATCATTCCTTCTATTCATCATCTTCGACAAGTTTCATCGATTTATGTATATTGTAATGATGCGGAGAGAAAAAGAGACGAATGGGTATCTCAATTTCCAAAGGTAATATTATCAATACGATAAAAAAAATAACTGTTTTTGTTTTTATATAGATTAAGACTATGATGGTTGAAGTTCGTGAACTTATTAATCGAATTGAAACAGATCATCGAAGTTTAAAGAGAATAACAGAATCATTATCAATCAATAAATTTAGTTCAGGAAAATCAACAACAGGTGTCAATGGTCATTTTGTTTTCTTTCAAGTTCTTATCGATTGTCTTTTACGAATGAAATTTAAAGAAGAAGATAAAAATGAACTTATTTCACGTTTTAAAATCGAATATAATGAAAATAAATCTGAACTCGAAAAACTGGATGAATTCCAAAAGAATTATTCATCAGATAAAGCTGTATGGTGGTATACTCGTGATTCATTCTATTACAGAACTTTGAATAAAGCTTTGCGCTGTCAAAATATTGATATGATCTATTTATATCGTTCGTTTATTAATGATATTTATCATATGTTACGAAAACATCAATCGAATATTCCATTACATGTTTATCGAAGTCAATTAATGGTTAAGGATGAATTAGAAGAATTGAGGAAATATATTGGACAATTCGTTTGTGTAAATTCATTTCTTTCTACGACAAAAAAATATTTAACAGCTGTTTTTCTTGCCGGTAATACAAATGCACAAAGTTTTATGGAACGAGTATTGTTCGAAATTGATGCTGATCCTGAAATGGCTATTACACAACCATTTGCAGATATCAGTAAATTTAGTGAATTTGCTGAAGAATCAGAAGTACTCTTTATGGTTGGTTCGATTTTTCGTCTTGATGCTATTAGTTGTACAACGGATTGTGTATGGATCATTCGCATGACCTTGTGTAGTGGAAATGAACATGATTTAAAAGATGTTCTTGTGCATATGAAAAAACAAAATGGAAATGGACAGACAAATCTACGAACACTTGGTAAAATTTTATCAGAAATGGGTAAACTTAATCTTGCTGATAAATATTATAAACGTTTCTTGATGGAACTTACACTTGATGATCCTTTAATACGCCATGTTTATGAAGATCTCGCTCAAGTTTCTTCACAAAAAGGTGACTTCGACAACAGTATACAATGGCGACAAAAATCTCTTGCTGTCAATTGCCAATATCAGTCAAATATTTCTATTTCAAATCAGACAATTCCGATTTCTAATGTTAAATGGAGACAAAATGGTGTTACTGTTGCAGGAGGAAATAAAAAAGGTGATAAATTAAATCAATTATTTTATCCATGGGGTTTGACTGTTGACGATGATCAAAATGTCTATGTTGCTGATTGTGTAAACGATCGTATTGTTGAATGGAAACTCAATGCAACCAGTGGTCGACTCATTGCTGGAGGAAATGGTGAAGGATCTAAAGCAAATCAATTGGATGGTCCAAGAGATGTAATTATAGATAAGCAAACAGATAGTCTTATCATTTCTGATGCACGGAATCGTCGAGTAGTAAGATGGTCACGACAAGGTGGTCTATTTGAACAAATAATCATTTCGAATGTCGATTGTTATGGTATAGCAATGACCGACGATGGATTTCTTTATGTTTCTGATGTTGAAAAACATGAAATTAGACGATGGCAAATAGGTGATACAAGTGGAGCAGTAGTTGCAGGTGCGAATGGTAAAGGTAATCGTCTTGATCAACTTGATTCTCCAACGTTTATTTTCGTTGATCAAAATCATTCTGTATATATATCAGATTCTAATAATCATCGTATAATGAAGTGGGTAAAAGGTGCAAAAGAAGGCATTGTTGTCGCTGGAAATCATGGATATGGAAATTCTACTAAACAATTAAATTTTCCTCGGGGTTTGGTCGTCGATCAGTTTAGCAGAATTTATATAGCTGACGATGAAAATAATCGCATTATGTGTTGGACAAAAGGAGCTTCGCAAGGAACTATTGTAATTGGTGTTAATGGTGAAGGCAATCAAGACGATCAATTGAGGAGACCATGTGGTTTGTCATTTGATCGGTTGGGTAATCTTTATGTTATTGACCATTGGAATCATAGAGTACAACGATTTTCACTCGATACTGATCCCTAATGTTTTTTTTTCAATGATATTATATTCTGTAATTTTATTTCTCTATGTAAAATAAGTATCTTTATCCACACTCTCAAACAAGTTGTTTAACATTTCAGACAGTTTTCTACATAATTTTCATTACACGAAAAAAGAGAAATATCTAGACAACATGAAACAAATTAAAAGAAAATTTTTATTTTTGCTTGGTCGAAGGCATTGCTGTAGGGTGATTCCATGGGACTTGTGACACGTTTACGCCGACTCTCACCAAATCGCTCGAAATTTTCAGGACGCATATAATAAACAATTCTAAGACTTTTTTGCTCTTGGACGAAAGTTCTAGGACGTTTTGTTCAAGAGCTGTAGCCCCAGTACTAAGTACCCTTCGGAACAGATTTTTCAAGTACCTTTTTCTTTCCAACACGCCTAGCTTTGCACCACTTTGTGCTATAGACATTCTGACGATATATTTGGATTCCTCATGATCAGGGCTATCAGAATCACTCCTTTTCATAAGTTTTTGGATTCGTCTCAGAACCGCGGGGCTCTGGAAACCCTTTTCAACCGCCGATTATTGCAGGCTCGAAATCTCCATAACTAGAGAACTCTGCACTTCGTGGAACATCTCATTTGATAGAGCATCAAAAGATCTATCGAATCATGTGTGCGCCGTCGGACGGGAGTAAGGTTTCACCGAGATAGGGTCTCCAGAAAACGTACATGGGTTTTTGAGAAAATAAAATATTTTTTTCGTGAAATTGGGTAAAATATATGTAAACAAAAACTTTTTTTTATATATGCTGTCGTAATAGTTCGTAAAAGATTCCTTAAAGATCTCTGAAGAACTATCTTAGATCTATGCAATTTTCCATTGATACATGTGTTAATAGGTCAGTACTGGAATGTTAATATTTTTATAATAAGAAAAGCCTGGTTTTGCAAGCATGAGAAGAAGAAAAAGACGCAGAAGAACGTGTTAAAGTGCGAATGTTTTTGAGTCTGAGCTACTGGATATTTTACGGCAACTAATGCGATTCACTGCCAATGGATCGAACTGATGATAACTACGAATTCCATGGATTCAACCTGTCGAAAAAGGAAGAAAATGTTTTATCAATGTCAGGAAGGACGATCTAACCTTGGCCACCCTTTTGAGTTAATCGTTTGTTCAGATTCATAGACTCAGAGTTTAGCTGTATATCTTGCCGACTAAGATAAAGCACATTGATCTTGGTATCGGTGAGGCGAATTGATAAAGCTCTTGTGGGGTTAAAATGGTATCTGTTCGTCGTCCACTGAGTACTCTACGAGTTGCACGGTATTTCAAAGCTGCTCCGATTCCGTCAACTGGACCTTTTCCATGTGCTGTAGCAGAAAAAGTCCAGACGGCTGGAATTCCGAAGGCACTCTCGTGATAAGTTAAATTCAGCATTGATTTATTGCTCTTGAAGTGCTGAGGAGCTCCATCAGTGACATAATTAACTCTTTTTACAGCAGAATAGCGATCACGAATGAACTGAACAATTACCTTTTGAGCAGCATGAACGAAATCAATATTATGATCAAGATGATCGCTGACGAAAGCGAGGCTATGTTGAATGGTCTTGTCTACAGTGATGTGTACCGTAAAAATGGTGGCTTGTGGAGTTGTCCAATTAGCTTGCTGGATCTCGTGCTGAACAATCAGCGCAGGATTTTCTGCAAAATCCATTTGGACCACCGCTGTTGCATTCGAACAAGCTTCTTCTTTAATCTTTTTAATGTACTCTTGCTGTTGACGAGTACAGTAGTGGTGGATAGCAAATTTTGTCCACTTGACATCGAACTCGTCAAGCAGATCACGAATCGAGCCGCTGACACGCTGCATTGAGATCTTTGCAACTGAGGTCGGCTCGTCGTCAGCGTCAACCACTCTCTTTGACGATACAGCCTGGAGATAATCGTTTAGGCTATAGGTAAACAAAGCACAGAGGGAGATACTCACTGATTTCCACGTCATCCAAGCTACACTATCATCGATTGTCACATTTTGACAACACACAAGCTCACTAAACAGAAATCCACCAGGCTGCAACCACTTGCAGTCATCACATTCTCGGAAATAGCACGTTTCTGTTTGCGAAAAACATACGCATTCAGCAATGAGACTTTTCATATCCATAGTGTTAACACCCAGGTTGTTCCAACTCTATCAAATAAAATGAACTCTGATTCCTTCATGTGAAATTCTACCTGAATGTGTAATTCAAAGTTCTCATGATAGATGCAGGTACAAACATCATGTGGCTTCTTAATTTTAATCCATTTTGGGCGTAGGTTATAAAAGCTCGATTTTTTCACAGAATTTGTTCCCTGCTTCGCTTGTAACTGTTGGACAAAGAGTTGATAGGCTTGGCCTACAGTCATTGACATGTGTCGAATGGCAATGGGATTCTTTTGAATGTGTATCACATCACGTTTATTAGGAGACTGACGGCTGATGGCATCATCATTGTAGAAGTCGATGATTTCCTGAACAAGGAGCGGTTCAAGACAGGTGTTGCCGCGCCAGTCGACAGGTACGGCCAACCTGCCGTAAGACACACGAAGAGAGATGCTCTTTTGAGCCAGATAGCGAGAGATTTCGAAGTATTCTTCCACTTTTACACATCCCCATTCAGGTGGAGCTAAGGTGAGAAGACGAATCTGTTCATCTGGGTCACTAGATTTAATTAAACACTTGGAACCATCGAGAAGATATTCCTTGTCAGCGAGTTTAGGCGATGAATGACTTGGAAGCTGGGCGACGTCTTGAACGTGTCGCAAGGCTTCTGCCGCAGACCGAATCAGCTCGATAGCCGTCGTCACTTGTTTGTCCAATTGATTTGTCTGTCGTCTAAACGGAAATCAAATTCAGAAATGGAACATACGAGGATCTACTTACACATCTCTAATCTTCGCAATTCCCAGTGCATCAAACACTTGATTCAGCAGTTCTTTGGCCTGTTCGAATTTGTATCTCATTTCGACACTCTCTATCATGCTATGACCTCCTGCAGATATTGGTGAATCGACTGATGGAGAACTCACATGCACGCCCAAATGCGTATGAAACCGACTGGTTTCTGTCTCATAACAAGTTCGGCGCAGAAGTTCGCCGTCACATAGAGCAAATCCAACAATCGCATCCGCTTGATAATATTCTTGCGTGATAAATGCATCCAAATCACTGTCAATCGGTCGATCTCCACGTGGACAAAGAGCGCCCGGACCCAACTTTCTTGAACCTTGGTGAGAGATCGGATGAGCGCACCACTTCTTATTGCTTCGAGGCATCTGTAACTCAACAACCTATGCTACTTTTTTTGAACAATCCCAGCGTCTAAAGTACGCAACATTAACATAATTTCAAATAATAGATTCAAACCTTTACGTGTTTATTATTGTATATAGTTTCTCTTGCTTACGTCTAAGCAACACCGCATTATCGATGAGCCAATATCATATTCACAAAAAAGAAATTAAAAAAGAACGTAATATCC